ATATTAAAGCTGGTAGGACCATCACAAGTGGAAGTTGAAGAAGTGGAAATGCTAGACTCTTTCTGTTGCAAAACCTGAACAAAATTTTCTCCTCCCTGTATCATTCTTGCAATTTTTATTTTTCCTTCCAAACTATCCTCGATGTATTTTTCGGCAACTGATGAACTTTTCCATCCACCATGGCGCTTCAATAATGATAATTCTGCGCCTGCATCTGCAAGAAGCGTTACAGATGTACGCCTGAAACAATGTTCAGTATATTGCTCCGGATTCTGTAAGTTAAGGTATTGGGTTATCATTTTTGGTATCCCGCCAATTGTGTGGATTCCAATATGCATGCGTGGTGGATGCATCTTCCACCACGGTAACCAGTAAGTAACACATTTTCCTGTATATCTTTCGGTCGTAACTTCATATACTTTCTAAAAATTTCTAAAAAGTTTATTCCTTCCGCTTCATTCACGACGGTAAACACCCGTCTAATGTTAGTTTTGGTATCGGGAATCGTTACTATTAATTGGATTCCAGTATCTTGAACATCGTCAATTTTTAATGAATATAATTCCTCCATTCGACAACCTCCAGCAATTCCTAACATTGCAATAACCTAAAATGCCAATTCACAACTTAACAGTTTCGTTAATATATAATAATGTTTATAAGTAATTATATTATTTCTTTATACCTACCTTTGCCAAAAGATACTTCACATCCGGTGCTTCCTGTATAATGTATTGACCTCCTGCCTTGTTAGAATTTTTGATTGCTTAGATTGATANAAAAATACATTTGCGTAAAAAAGTAATTAAACATATTAATTTGTATTGTTTACATTTATAGTGATAGTACAATTTGTATTTCCTGTTATATTAAAACTGGTAGGACCATCACAAGTAGAAGTTGAAGAAGTGGAAATGCTAGACTCTTTCTGTTGCAAAACCTGAACAAAATTTTCTCCTCCTTGCATCATTCTTGCAATTTTTGTTTTTCCTTCCAAACTATCCTCGATGTATTTTTCGGCAACTGATGAACTTTTCCATCTACCATGGCGCTTCAATAATGATAATTCTGCGCCTGCATCTGCAAAAAGCGTTGCAGATGTACGCCTGAAACAATTTCCAGTATATTGCTTCGGATTCTGTAAGTTAAGGTATTGGGCTATCATTTTTGGTATCCTGCCAATTGTGTGGATTCCAACTATCTGGTGGATGCATCTTCCACCACGGTAACCAGTAAGTAACACATCTTCCTGTATATCTTGTAACGGTTAATTTAGTAGAACACGCGGTATTCCAGAGAGACAGCAAAACTAAAAGTTACATTTAGTAGGCAACCAACCATGTTTTATTAAAGATTTGTGTTATAATTATACATTTTTAGTATTTAGAATTACTTCAATAATACAAATTGGACAATCNCAAAAATACATTTGCGTAAAAAAGTAATTAAACATATTAATTTGTATTGTTTACATTTATAGTGATGGTATAATTTGTATTTCCTGTTATATTAAAGCTGGTAGGACCATCACAAGTGGAAGTTGAAGAAGTGGAAATGCTAGACTCTTTCTGTTGCAAAACCTGAACAAAATTTTCTCCTCCCTGTATCATTCTTGCAATTTTTATTTTTCCTTCCAAACTATCCTCGATGTATTTTTCGGCAACTGATGAACTTTTCCATCCACCATGGCGCTTCAATAATGATAATTCTGCGCCTGCATCTGCAAGAAGCGTTACAGATGTACGCCTGAAACAATGTTCAGTATATTGCTCCGGATTCTGTAAGTTAAGGTATTGGGTTATCATTTTTGGTATCCCGCCAATTGTGTGGATTCCAATATGCATGCGTGGTGGATGCATCTTCCACCACGGTAACCAGTAAGTAACACATTTTCCTGTATATCTTTCGGTCGTAACTTCATATACTTTCTAAAAATTTCTAAAAAGTTTATTCCTTCCGCTTCATTCACGACGGTAAACACCCGTCTAATGTTAGTTTTGGTATCGGGAATCGTTACTATTAATTGGATTCCAGTATCTTGAACATCGTCAATTTTTAATGAATATAATTCCTCCATTCGACAACCTCCAGCAATTCCTAACATTGCAATAACCTAAAATGCCAATTCACAACTTAACAGTTTCGTTAATATATAATAATGTTTATAAGTAATTATATTATTTCTTTATACCTACCTTTGCCAAAAGATACTTCACATCCGGTGCTTCCTGTATAATGTATTGACCTCCTGCCTTGTTAGAATTTTTGATTGCTTAGATTGATAGCCAACATTGCATTTTTTCAAGAAAGCAATGACTTTGCTAAATCGTGAGATATTTACATTTTCATGTACCAGGAGCATCGATTTAAGCATAGAATATGTTGCCCACAATGAATTGCTACACATTATTTTAGACTAAAAACATTTTTTATTATTAGATATACCTGATTAATAATGAATTCTCATTAAAAAAAACTCACCGCATCTAAAAAATAGGCTAATATAACATCTTCTTGAACACTGAACTTTATTTTCTTTTTTCCAGCTGATGAATAGATTATATTCTTTTTCGTATCTAGTTGCAGATTTTACAGGAATTAGTTTTTTTTTAACTTCAATAGATTTTCTTAAAACTTCAACAGACATATCTCGCGCCATTATTCTATGGCTAGAAATTGGCCTCAATGATTTGGGATCGAGGGGGATTATCCCTCTTTATCCTGCCTCATCTCGTGTAGGCCTGTACAGCCTTCGTAGGTGGGCCNTTTTTTATCACGTATGCAAGTGCATCACCGAGTCTTAAGTACTGCAGGGGAAAGTCAGTTTATCCAACGACAACAACTAAATCCTTTATTTGTTATATACTCCTTTTTATGCTTATGCCTTTTAATATTACATACTTATTTAATATAAAACTGTGAACTCCATAACAGCAAACAACTCCTGTTTGCGGAGGGGATAATTGTTTATATAATTTTGAAAGATTTAGTGCGGAATATACTAAAGCTCTGTGTTTTCAATACATCCTATATGATCGTTTTATTAACTTTAATACTCGTATTAACCAGCAACATAATATAGTCAATTTAATTTAATACGTACAGTATATTTAATACAATTTGTTGTATGGAAATTTTCTATATTATTATTTAGAGAACAACAAACATACCCTAGCACTTTTACATTTTATGTTATCTATTGTTTCATGTGAATTTAAGACACATTAACTAGTAAAATTAAATATTTTAAAACAATTTTCATTACTTTGGTTTATTGTGTATTTTGTCTACTTTTTGTCGTTTCCTTCGGAACGGCTGGCGCCCAAGGTTGTCTACTCACAAAGTATTATTTGTTGGAGTTTATTGCAACAAATTATTTGTTATTCTCAAATCAACGATCGAACTCACGCCGCTCTCGGCTGTATTGAGCTGTCGTGCATTGTCGAACCCTCTATTAACAGTTATGATTATCTTAAACTTAAGTAAGGTTACACGAAATGGCGCCCAACGTGGGGCCCGAGAATTTTAAATAAGTCTTCAGCAAATGAACTTAATAATCTTTTAGCCGGTGTTAAAGTAGACAATTTTTTTTGTGGGCAAAACAATTTGTACTTTAAGTGGTTGAATAGCTGAAAATAATTTTTATGTAAAACTTTTTCAATTCTTAAAAGAAAGTATCTAGGCAAAAGTTTTTGTATTTAGTTTTGGACAAATTTACAGGTACATTTGCAATAATTTGTTACGTCAGATATATTTATAGTTTTTTAAGCAATAAGCAAGGCTGGGGATATTTATTACGTGGTATATCATACAATTTAACTCCGTTCTGTTCTAGGTTTGTTTATGGTGTGCTTTGATATTGTTATATATTATACTTGTATTTATAATTGTTGTTATCCATAATTTTGAGCTAAGTAGTTGAGTGCAGTTAACGGAGGCATACTGGTCGGTATTGTGAATGTTTTTTTTTAAATCAAAATATACAGGGGCTGTTCGATAAAACTTACTAGTAATACCTTTCTCTTTTTTTTTAAAAAAAAAGAAAAAGAAAATATATACTTGATTTACACTGGGAGTTAGACAATTTTTGTCACTTTTATTTAAACTTACCATTTGTCGTGTTTTCAAATTACTTGATTAAATTAAAATTTTGTTCAATTTTTTTAATTCATTATGGCGGCAAATTATGATATGGATCCAAACCACCTTAGGATATATGAATTAAATTACGAGTTAAGGATTAGAAATGTAGCTGCAGATAGGGTAGATGTGTCTTTGAAAAGAAAATATTTGCGCAGAGAATTAAAAAAAGATTTAGCTAGGCCTGAAGTTCATGTATACAGTACTCCTAATTTTGATTTCGAAATGGAACAGAAAGAATTAAATGATAGTATAAAGTCAACTACAGATTTATTGAACGATTTTGATGGGATTAATGTAGAAGTGGGTAATAGAATTCGTAGTAGAATTAATCATATTTTGGGTAGATTAGGACGACTTCCACAGGATGTCAATGATGATATTTCTAATTATCGCGGCGATTATATTATTTTGGTTTCGACATTGGAGGATGATTTAGAAGAAATTATGGAGAGACATAAAAATGGGACAGCACATGCTACACTTAATCAAAATTTGGTTCCTGTAAATAGTAATGCTTGTTCAAGTAAAGCGATTCCAATTTATGAATGGCCTGTTAAATTTATGGGTAGGTCCGATAAAGTCTCACTAAATTCTTTTCTGCAACGCGTTGAGGAATTGCGTACTGCTAGAAAATGTAGCAAACAGGATCTTTTCCAATCCGCTTCGGACTTATTTGAAGATTATGCTTTGGAATGGTATCGGGCACAACTCCGACACAGAAGATTCGACAATTGGGATTCCCTGGTGAAAGCGCTAAAAGAAGACTTTTTACCGCGGGATTATGACAGAGAGTTATGGAAGCAAATAGAGAAGCGTACCCAGCATGTTAATGAACCTGTTGTTGTTTATTTTCTATAATGGAAAATCTCTTCGAATGTTTATCAGAAAAGCCTTCTAATGAAAAGAAGTTGAGAGTTCTGATGTCTCTGATATTACCGGAATACCAAAACCATTTAGTACTGCAGGATATTCCCCACGTAAAGACTTTAGTCAGATTGTGCAGGATTCTAGAAGATTCAGAGAAGACTAAGAGAGAATTTCGACCACCGTCAAGTAAAAACGTTTTCGCATTAGAACCTAGCCTCTTATATGCTGCGGATAACGACATCGATAGTAAAGGAGCATCATCGAATTATCGCAGGGAAGACGCGGACAGACGTTTCCACGTATCCAAAGGTCACCCAAACTTTAAAAGGAATTCGTCCGAATTCGCTACTGAAGTTCGCTGTTGGAACTGTGACAGAGTTGGTCATATAAAGCGTGACTGTAAGAAATCGACAGGAACTCCTACATGTTATGGTTGCGGAAAGAAAGGAGTAATTAGACCTAACTGTCTAAAATGTCGCCAAACAAAAAACGCAAATTCGGAGAACGACTAGTAGGTCGGCGTCTCTCCGTTTTGTCACAGTTTGGTAGGACTTACACGAAAACTTCTGTTGGTGAATGGCAAAGTTGGCTGCAGCTAGTTAAAAGTGTTTTTAAGCCAGATGTTTACAGCAGTATCAGAGAAACTTGTTGTTTACCAAGTGGTAAAAGCCAAGTTCAGAATGAGGCTAATGCTGTCTTTATCGAACAGGAAAATGACAATAGACCGTACGTTTCTATTCAGATATTTGGCAGGTCAGTCATAGCGCTTCTTGATACTGGAGCAAACTGTTCGACAATTGGTAAATATGGTAAATATTTACTAGATATTTTTTATTCGCAGCAACATAGGTGTTGTGAGCAATATGTTAGCACTGCGGATGGTACAAAACACAGAATTGAAGGATTTGCTAATTTTCCATTGCAAGTAGATGGAATAGTAAAAGTTATGAAGATTTTTAGTAGTACCTACTTTGGCACACAACTTGCTTCTGGGAATAGATTTCTGCCGGGTATTTAAAGTTACCATGGACTTTCCTACTAATTCTTATTTCGTGGGTAAAACTTGTTTAAATGTTATCAGCGAAGAATTACAACGAGACGAAGGTAATGTGATCAATAAAGTTTGCTCAGGAGATCAACTGGATGATGTGCAAACGCAACAATTGAAGTCGGTGATAGAGAAATTTCGCTTACTTTCATCTACAGAGTTAGGACGGACCCGCAATATTGTTCATGAAATCGATACTGGGGACGTAACACCAATCAAACAACGACACCATGTTATCTCACCGTATAAGTTGAAAATATTAAATGAGGAACTAGACAAAATGCTACAGCTTAAAGTCGTACGTCCTTCGACAAGTCCCTGGGCTAGTCCAGTGTTGATTGTGGAAAAATCTAATGGAGAACCAGATTTTGCTTCGATGGAAGAAAACTAAATTCCGTAACCAAAAAATGTGCATATCCTTTGCCCATCGTAGACCATATTTTAAATAAACTCTCTGGTGCTCAATTTCTTAGCAGTATCGATTTAAAATCTGCTTTCTGGCAAATTCCATTACACCCTGAGTCATGTGAGAAGACTGGATTTGTTGTGCCAGGCAGAGGACTTTTTGAGTTTGAAGTCATGCCTTTCGGGTTATGTAACGCCGCCCAAACTCAGCGAGACTTATGGATTCCGTATTAGGACCAGACTTGGATCCGTTTGTTTTTGCCTACCTTGACGATATTATTGTAGTTACTCCTACCTTTCAAAAACATTTTTCTTTTTCCTTTTTTTTTGTCGTATATTGTGAACTACTTTTTTTGTTATACACTTTTTTTGTTATACACTTTGTCTTACATATATTTTTTTTTCTCTGTAATTGGGTATTAATCCGTTGAGAATAAATGTATTATTATTATTATTATTATTATTATTATTATTATTATTATTATTAAAAAAA